AATGCATTCAGATCCCTTGAACATGCTCCTGCATCTCTCCTGAGTTGCTGGTTTCTTATTTTCTTCACTTACATTTTTGCGGAAGTAACCTCAAAGCGCCAACAAACTTCTGCACATAAACCAAACAGTAACATTCATCTGAGACACAGTCCTTTGATCTCCTCTTCAAAGTATGTGCAAATCTGAACGTATTATTTTCTGTATTTTTCTCTGCCCAAGCACAACAGCACTGACACAGACACATAGTTGACTCTCTCCCTGTTATAGGAAGGCTCGGTCTCACTGCCTACCAGTGCAAATTTTTAAATCTGCTTTTCTAGCCCCAAATCTCCTGAGTGGGTGAGAGCAGAATGCATGCCACCTTTTCATTTTCACTGGACATGTAGACCTGACCAGACAAACCTTCCATCTATATGGATGCAAACCTCAGAGAGGCAAAACCCTCAGTTCAGACAATGGTATTGGCACGGGATCAAGCTTGCCCTAGGTCCGAGTACTAATCTCAGGAATATTAGGAATAAAGGGAAGACCTAGTTTGCCCCTCATTTTGTGAAACAATTTTAAACAAAATTCCCTGCATATTCTGATAATGAATGTATTTAATTACTAATTTCCTATACAGGGTTTCTACTACACAGAAATAGACTTGGGTAAAAACAAGGCCTCCCTAGTGGCCCCACAGGGTTTGGATGGCGTTCTAGCCAAAGCGTGCCCACAGAGGTTGGAACTTGTTTTCCCCTCTATGTTTAAGTACTCAAAAGAACATCTACTCAGTGAGAGAGAGAGAACTGAATTTGTCAGGAAGTAGTTGTTACCTCTGATTTCCTGCTCCATTATTAGAGACAAAAGCCTGCTATATAGTTACCTGCAATTGGCGTATGGTGTACATGACAGACCACAATGTAGGTGAGTAATGAATCCTGTGAGAATCTGAGTGACCTGACCCAAGACCCCTCTCACTAGTGAGCAGACAACCTGGAGCCTAAAAACACATTGTTTTCAAGTTAGTGAAAAACAATTAAAAAATAAAATAAAATCCCAGAAAAATAGAACACAATGACGGTCCAACACAGAGTGATTATTTTTATGACTAATAAAAAGAAAACGACTCAACACATACAATGGCCAAGGGTAAGTCACGGCCAAGTGTAAGATGCGCACCTCAGTGAATAAGTACCTTCTTGAATCCACAGACACAAAGATCTCCTGGTTCAGGACTTGTATATCTCCACACCTGAACCAGCTAGCGGGAGAAAGTTTCCTGGAAAAAGTACCTGATGTAAACTTGTAATATAGTAGAATCATGATAACCTCTTCATGGCCCCTGGAATAAATGTATCACTCTATCTGCCGACACGTCTGCTTCAACTCAGCATCAGTACATTGACTCCCTTGTACTTCCAACATTGAAGGAGAATTATCGCTTTGTTAATTGTTCAGTCCTCAAACAGGAATGCAGTTTGCCAAGAGTGCCTCTCCTGAACAACAGAACCTCACCCCCTGCCAAAGTGCAGGGCGACTAGCATAGATGGTGCACTGCCAGTCAGTGAGTTCTAACACCCTTAACATGGGGGTGTTGGCCTTGAATGACTAAGTCTAATTCACCAACCACAGAATGGCTGATGTAGTATCCTGGGTCTTTTGCACAGGGCCAAAACGACCTGATGTTTTTCTTTGTACTCAATCATTTCCACATGGTTTCTGTTTGCATTTTAACTCTCATAAGGAGACCTCCCAGCTTGGGCATCAACATTATAAAGAAGCATCCATTATGAACAAATAACATAATTCATAGGTATATATTGACTTTGTCTATTACCCCAGAGATTCTTTGTGTCCATACACTGAAGCCACTTCAACATAACCCAGTTCAATATAACTTGGGATGCCAGGACCAATTCTGGACATGAAGGAGCCAGGGTCTCCCAAAGCCTTCTTGATTTGAACTCCTACTGAGGGGATCTATGAAAGCTCATCCATAGGCCTCCAAGATACCATCTGCCCCATTTCTTCCTGTGGGAACCCAAGCATGACCAGGAGGCAGGTCATGGTTGAAGTGTTCATAGCCAACTAAACAACAGTCCGCCTGTTCTCTCCCATGAGTGTCCAACCTTAACCATTCCCTCATTTCCAGCCATAAAATTTCTCTATTATTTCACAGAAATAACTTTTGAAACTTGTTTTATTTTACAAAAAGAGCTCATGGACATGATGTTTAGAACACTTGAAGGGCTTGCACACATACGGTCTTCTCTTCTTTTTAAAGCCACTTAGTGACTGTAAACGACTATGCTGTTTTGTTTATTCTTCTATGTGCGGAGAGCTGGGCTGGGTGGCTCATCTCTGCTCCTAGTGCCATCCCCATGGGGCAGCTGGGAATTGAGACTCTTATTCTATTATGACTGGCTGTTTCGATGTCTGGTGCTTCAGTACTCCTTGGCCTCTCTCTCTCTCTCTCCACGTGCTGTCTCATCCTCCAGGGCCTATCCACGTGGTCTGGACTTTTCATGAATGATGATCTTGAGGTAGTTGGACTTCTTACATGGTAGCTTAGAGTTCAAGAGAAAAATCATTCCAAGAGACTCAAATGGAAGCTTCAAGGCTTCTTATGGGTAAGGCTCAGAAATCCCTGAAAATTACTTCTGTTACAGTCCAGTAGTCAAACAAATCACTAAAGTCAGTTCAGTTTCAAAGGAATTGGAGAAATGGATTCTACTCCTTGGCTGGGGAATGACATGTAGGAATAGAAGGAATTGATGGTAGCCATCTTGTACATAAACTACCACAGAGAGAATGCAGCTTCTCCACTACTAGCATTATGTTTTTCCGCAAAGGTGTGAAAGCAGCACTGTTTGTTTCCGTTTCTTACAAAGCCTTGTTTTTAAAAGGTTTTTTTTTTTTTCATTTATAGCTCCATTTATTATAGGCTTCAGGTGTAAATCTATGAAAGGCTGGACCCACGAATGTTATAAGCGACAAACACTATGCTTTATTCAGAAACTCTTCCCTGCTAATAAGGTATTATAGAACTAAGCTTATCTGTTGAACTTGTTCTTCCCTTGGGATAACTTCTCTGCAAGGACGCTTCTTAGTTCCCTCAAACCACTGGAGAGGTCCATCTTGCCAGGTCACCAGACATGCATAGACATTCCAGACTCCAAATGGTGACTGGAGCCTGGGCTCAAACAGAGATCACTGCTGCACAGGTTATTCAGCACAGAGTCTGGCCTTTGGGAGATGCTTAACAAATGTTAGAGCCCATCTTCTTCCCTTCTTGACTACACAGGAAAATCTAAGTTAAATATCAGTTTATGATTCTTATCTACGGATGATAAAACTGAGGCTAAGAGAGGTTAACAGGTCTGATCCAGTTCATATAACCAGTATGTGAAGGAATTGAAACTTGAGCCCAGTTTTTTGATGCTCAGTTCCAAGGATTACCAAGGCGAGTTTACTCCCTGAATTTGAAAATATAAAAGAGAGAGCAGATTCTTCAGTGGAAAAGAATATAGCAGTAAGAAAATGGAGTGCCAGGGTTGGCACAGACAGGTATTGAAATAGAAGTAGGATACTGTGAATTTACACTACCCATTCACCAGTTTTACCTGGAGCCAGTCTTATTATATTTTCCACAAGTATTTCAGAGTGTTACTCTTACAGATATATACTAATGGTGGCGAATTAAGTTCTTCAGCCTAGTAAATAATTTTTAGCTTCGAGCTACCCACTCCAAGTCCCTTTTAATCCCTCATGTCCTGCTTGCAGTTAATGGAATGCAAAATTCCATCTCGCCCTGTTCCTCAGATCTCCCAGCAGGACGTCACTGCTGTGTATCAGTTACTAGGTGTGGGTTTCCTTTTGCACCAGCCTGTCTGCCTTCCGAGTGATGAAACGAAGCTTCCCCCAAGGAGAGAACCCAACATCATTTCCTCCTGCCTGGTCAGCTTCCACTGAACGCCTGTGGCAGCCTTTGCTTCCAGCAACAACAGGCTGCGTATCCATAACAAAGGCAGCCAGAGGCTGTGATCTGGCCGTCTTCAACTCTGTCATTTCGCCAACATGGTTTCCTAGCCTTGTCCCAGATACTATGCCTCTGGTCTTTGGTGGCCCTACCGCCTGGCATACACTTAGGTGTCAGCAGACAAGATGAGCCTAAGTTCCCGTCTCCTTGACTCAAGAGATCTGTGACTCTGCTGAATAAAGTTTACTTCCTTTACTGAAATTACCAGAAGACATTTGCAAAGAGGTCAAATCACTGTAGGTCATAATCATAATATATTCACTTTTGGGGGCAAAATGCAAAAATACTGGTCAGAATTAGGACATTTTTACACATCCTGGAGCAAGAAGCAAACAAGTGCATTAAATTCTGTGATGACTTTATTTTAAATTGTGTCACTGCTACACTGCACTTATTAAAATAAATATGTTGAAATTCTGGAGAGAAGACCATATGAGAATTCCACCCTTGAATTAATGTAACCGTTTCCTCCTAGAGAAATATGCCCGGTAGGACCTGGTATTAAAATGAGAGTAACTTCAGTCCTGCAGACAACCTCTTCAACATTAGTGCCACCAAAGCAGGGAGGGGATATATGAAGACAAATATACTATATTCACCTATCTAAAACAGAGGGTAACACATCAGCCACAGCCAATTCATTCTATTCACTTTTTAAATAATATAAATTATGTAGAGTCATCATAAGAAGAAGGAAAATAATCAAATAAAAAAGGCAAAATTTAAATCACGTATAATCACACAATCTTGACATAATTAACCAGTGTAATTGATTTGGGATATGTATTCTTCCAGACCTTGCCCTGTGTATATATACATAATTTTAACATGATTAAGCTGCCTACAATTTGTAATTTTCTATCCATACTTAATAGAACATAAATATTTTTCTATGTTGAAAAATGTACATCTACATTGCAAAAATATCACCCCTTTTTAATTACAAAGGGGGAAATGTGCCCTTAAAATAAAGGCACCTGTTATCCCCCAATCAGTGAAGCTTGACTTTACCAGTAATTTGGTGGCCTGATACTATATGTTTCCTGATGCAATGCAGTGAGAAGTATGCACATCGCCTATAAAGTGTTCTTGCTTGAAATGTTGAACCAAATCTAATCATGATGAAACAAGTTAATCCAAGATGTTGGGCATTCTGCATGATGGTTATCCTGGACTTCCCAAAGGATTTGAAGTCATCAAAAAACAGAGGAGACAATGTTCAAAGATTGAGAACTACTAAAGATATACAATAGCTACGCTGTGATTAAAATTTCATTGGAAATTAAATCAGAAAAAAATAGATAATATTTTAGGACAATTTGAGTACGTTTGCAAATGCTCTTATTGAATTAATGATTATTTTCTTAGGTGTGGTAATGGTGTTGTGAAAGAGAAGACTCGTACTCTTGAAAGGAGTGCCAAAGAAGTATTAAGAGGTGAAATTTCATGACATTGGTAGACCATTTTCAGAAGGTTGGGCCAAAAGAAAGAACGTACCCACAGAGACATGTTGTTGACAAATATTCACTGCACCATTCCTTCAACTTTTTGGTGAGTTCGAAGTGTTTTGAAGTTATATATAAAGCATATATATGTTACATATAAATACGCATATTTCTCTTTCTATTATTTTTTAAATGTTTATTTTAGGTTCAGCAATGTATGTGCAGGTTTGTTCTGCAGGTAAAATCATGTCATGGGAATTTCTGGTACAGATTATTTTATAACCCCAGATACTAGGCCTTTTTTTTTTTTCTTGAGACAGGGTTTCGCTCTGTCACCCAGGTTGGAGTGCAGTGGTGCAATCTCGGCTCACTACAGCCGCTGCCTCCTGGGCTCAGGTGATCCTCCTACCTCACCTCCCGAGTGGTTGGGACCACAGGTGCACACTACCACATCCAGCTAATTTTTGCATTTTTTTTGTAGAGACAGGGTTTTACCATGCTGCCCAGGCTGGTCTTGAACTCCTGGGCTCAAACAATCCACCTGCTTTGGCCTCTCAAAGTGCTGGGATTACAGGTGAGAGCCATCATATCCCACTAGGCATATTTCTATCTCATATTTAAGGACTAAATGAGATTCTATTATATCCTAATCGATTTAACAAATCTCTGGTTTCCAACATTTCATTGCCTCAATTTTTAACTAATATAAACAAGTTTCAAAGACATTTCTTGTAGTTAATTGTTCGCATACATTCTTAATTATCTATTTAGGATTAATTCCCAGAAGCAACTACAATCAAGTTAATGGACATTTTTAAGGTTTTCAGCACTAACACCTGCAACACAATTATTGGATTCAGCCCTGAATATTTTCGGTAACCCTCAAGCCCCAAAGCCTGTTAGTCCTCTTTAAAATTACTACAATTGTCATATGATAAGACTTCTATCACTGGTATTTTATTTCCCAGGTTATTTATTATAATTAGAGCTTTCACTTCCTGACAACACATAGTAAATGTTTTTGTATCCCCATGGATATTTCATCTCTTACTGCTTTCATTGTAATCATCGAGAACCTAGGAACTGTCATCTTTTCTTGTCCTGTTCATCTGCTCTAAAAATGTCTATCTTCATTATTGGCAGGAATACAACTTTGGTCATTGTCCCCAGCAAAAGTGGCACTACCCTGGCCTGAGCAGAGGCTAGACCCACCTAGCAATGTACTGCAGCCTTGTGGCTCTTTCCAAGACAACCACTCTGGAAGACACGGAGTCTAGGTGCTGCCATGGAGGTATGATAGTCCCGACCACCGCCTCCAGGAAATCATCTCCCAGCACATACTAGGTGATACACACATCACCGAATCACACTTATTAAGCAGTATTACCAAGTGCTATTAAGTGTTATTTGCACTGTTAGTGTTACTAAGCGCTGTGAGAGCAAACCCTAGCCAATCACTCTCAAAGCTGTTCCTCACAGGTTTGGTCTATTTAACAAGCCAAGCTCACCGTTATCTAACACACTGAGATGTAGCCAGCTCCCTTTGCTTGCTCTTCTCTCACACACACGCTCATTTTCCCCACACTCAAACATGTGCAGAATATCCTCCAGGACCTCACTCTGGCTAAGTGACCGAAAAGGAAAGGAAAGTTAAGAAAATAGACATAGCCTTTTTTTGTAGTATATTTTTTGCCACTAGAAGTGAAATCGTTGACCCATAAATCCAAACAAATTATGTTTTAGCTGGATCCCTTTCAAATCATAATAATCAAGAAAGCTTCAAATAACTGAAATGCAAGTTACCATTTATGGAAGCATCAAGATAAACTCATGCCCGTTTCAGGCTTCTCACAAGCTGTAGGATCAATATTTTCTGTTATTTGTGGTGTCCAAGCCCAAATCATGTTGACTAATAGCAGAGGGTGCATCCAAAAAAAACAGATAATGAGTTATATTAAACCCTTAAATCTCTTTCCAGAAGCAATTATTTTTCTTCAGTGCTCATGGGAGATCAGAGTTCCGATCCCTCTTTGCAGTGGGTTTGGCTGTGCCTCTCACACTGAAAGCACACCAGCCCTGGTCCTCCCATTGATTCATAAGTACAACACACCACTTCCAGGATACAGAGCCATGGTGGAATGTTCACTGGAGTGAGGCAGCGTATGGAGCATGCAGAGCATGCAGACCCAGGTAAGATGTACAGGAGGCCGGGATCACCTGCAATGACTGTAACCTCAGGCAAATCTCACAACCTTTCATAGCCACAGATTTCACATGTATGCTCTGGCAACATTACCTCAAACCCACACTGTGTGGATTATGTGGATAACTCTCTAAACTATACAAGTTACACAACGTTTGTTATTTTGGTGTATTTTAATTTAAGGAACAGTGTTTAGCACATTGAGATGGTCTTCTGATCTATTTTAAGAAAAGGTCAGCTAACATGAGATATAAGAAGAGTATTATTCTGAGGTTACCATTAAGCTATAAGTCGAAAGATAAAATTTTGGTGTCAAAAAAATTGTTTGAAAATTTTACCTGTCAAAAAATAATTTGTGATTAAATATGCAAAATTATCTACATTATGCAAAACCAAAAGATATGCACATTTTAATTTCACAGAAACTCAAAGCACATTTATTTTACTTAGGTCACTGTTCGATAGGAGACCATAACCTGTACCCCTCCGCCAGGGGTGATATATTATCTGGCTCAGCCATGAGTCTGGAGTTGGGCCCCACCAGAAACAGCCTAAGCTATTCGACCTAAAAGCTATGTAACTTTGAAGCAGTTTGAAAAGCAGTTACTTTTCAACTTGGTGTCTATTTCTTTATCTGCCCAATAGGGATAAAAATCATTTTTTTGTTCATCTGGTGACTGATTTTTATTAAGAACTAACATCCTCGGCCCAAGGACTACCCCCAGCTCCAGAACTCTCCATAGGAATAGCCAAGACTTTTATTGCAAAATTGTAATTCAACTTCTTCTCTGCCTAATCTTGTATTCTTTACCCCTCAAAGATATTGCTGCCAAGAGCCCTTCCCGACACACCCACTGTACACAAATCTCAGTGTATCAGAGTCTGATTCCTGGGAACCTAAACTATGACACCCCTTTTCAGGAAAAAATGGACAAAATATCTATGTCAAAGAGGCTTGTAATGCTAAACATATTTTCTAGAGGTTATCCAAATCTGGTTAAACAAGAAAACCTTGGTGGTCTAGAGTCTAACTTCTTCAACACCTTCTGTTCTGGAACCTTAATTAAAGCAACTTAACTCAAGAGGGTATGAGAGAGTTTGCCTTTAATTGGTGGTCCTCACTCCCAGAAGCACCTCCAAGCATTTACTCTTTTCTATAGATTGGCCTCCCTTTCCCGTGTCAGTTATTTTTGCTTTCCCTTCCAAATATGCAGACCACCCATGTAATGAGATCTTGGTGTATCCTCACCTGCAAGCACAGATTACATGCCTGGCTCTGGCAACCCATGTTCTGACTTTACTTCTCGTTCAAGCTCTGTATGCTGTAGTCAACCCTATTTCCTCACTGCCTTGATCGTCAATAAGGATCAGACAGCAGTACATCAGAAAGAATGGGAGAACTTCAAGAAAGACCTAAACTGGCTCAAAGAACAAGTGCCTCAAACCCAAAGGATGAGCTCATTTTTCAAAAAGAGATCCAAAGAACTCCTGAGTGGCATATAAAACCCTATTTCGAGAAATGGAGTCTTTCAGACGGTATTTAGCTCAGGACATTATCTCCTCCCATTTTATAACTATTTCTTTTTTTGTTTGTTTGTTTATTGCCTCTGGAACTGGTTCTAGCAGGCATCCAAGAAAACTGTGGGAACATCTCAAAGCTGTTGCTAGTTATTCACCTTCACCACTGCTTCTACATTTCTATGACTCTAAGAGCCTCAGTCAATTAGGTAATAGTGGATGGTGACCTTCTAGTCACCTTTTGCCACAACTGCTGTGTTATGGCCCCAGCACTGGTTTTCCAAATAAAGGTGAAGGTAAAGGTATAAAGAAGTGTTTCCTTGAGAGTGCTCAACTTGGCTGAATAGGATCTTAGAAGCCCACAGGTCAGAGACTGAGTTCTTAAATTGTAGATTTCAGTAACAGCACAGAGAAAACGTTACTGCTTCATCTTGTTTTTAAAAGGGCTCAGAATGTGTAAATTTTTAAATAAACACTGCTGTGCTATGATTCTCATTTTTGAAGTGCCTTTCAGAGAACTGCTTATTTTTTCTTCTGTTCTTGCCACACCAAAAGGGAGCTGTGCTGTTGAACTCACTTCATGCTTGAGACAGATCCATCCAAGAAGCAATACTTGAATCATGTAAAGATGGCTATAAATGTTATATTGTATGTTTTCCCTCATGACTTTAAAGAAATTCCAATGTTTCTAGCTTGGTTGTTTGGATTCCCCCCCCCTCCAGATTTGAGTGAATTAGCTCCATTTCTTTCGCTCTCCCTCAACAAATGCCTTAGGAGGTCAAGATTTTTAATTATTTCTAGTCAATAACAAAAGAAACCTAAGTGTACTTAAGGGAACAAGATATTTATTTTTATGTTGTATACATATCTGTCTCCTCTTCAATTAAGTAAATATTTTTGCCTCTTTCTGTGGATTATTGTCCTAATTTTTCAGTGATACATGACATTAAGTCATGGAGCAAAAAACAAATGCTTAAGTGTAGTTGGAATATGACCAGGGAGTCATTATTACTGTGTGCTGAAATCCCCTCATGATCAAGAATCAAAACTGACATATGATGAATTGAGCTAAAGGGTTGACAAGATGAATTTTTACAGTGATGGGTTTAAACTGAATCTGGCGCTCCTGACTTTAGAATAAACCTAACTGAAAATGCTTTTTGTTTTGAGACAGGGCCTCACTGCATTGCCCAGGCTGGACTTGAACTCCCAGACTCAAGTGCTCCTCCCACCTCATGCTTCCAAGAATATGGGACCACAGGCATGTGCTACCTTACTCAGTTCTTACCAGTATCTTTTAATATTACATCAGTATTTTTAAACCATAAACATTGTATTGTTGAATAAATTTTGGTGCTCTTGGTTATTTTTAATTAGGAAGAAACTAAGGGGAAAAGTTTGAAATAATACTTGTTCCTCCCATTACACCAGTAATTACATTTACAATTTTAGGAAAATATTTTACAACTTTAAGAAAATATTTTTAGAAGCCAACTTGAATGAATCTTGGAAGCTCCAGAAACCTTTCACAACTTTTTGAAATGGAAATAATAATTTATAGTTAATATTTGTTTCTTCATTCCTGTATTTATAATATTTCTCTGGGAACAGAGCTGTAGGGAAAAAAAACAGATTAAGAAAGTTTAAAATGGCTCATCGGAGGAACTCAAGATGGCGCTGTGACAACAACCCAGGATTTAAGCTCTCGGTTAATCCGCGGAGAGGTGAGTCAAAGCTGCATTTTCAGACTGATCTTTGTTGCCCACAGAACGGGGAAATTCCCAAGTATAAAGGAGACGCGGGACACCAGGCAGAGGCTCTGCCTGGAGAAGCCGGCAGCAGGGGTGGCGGCGGCCGGCCCTACCCAGCGATCCCCACAGGGCGCACTTGTCCGGGTGCCCTGTTGAAATGGCAACCTGAGACTTGAGAGGGCTGAACTCGAGACTGAAAGGGACTCAGGCAGTGGGCCAGCCCAGGGGATTGCAGGGACACAGCGTGTGGGATAGCGCAGTGGGACAGAAAAAACGGTGATTCCAAATGCTCGCCGTGGAGACTGTCCCTGAGGTGCTCCGTGGGGGAGGGGCATCCACCATTACCGAGGCAACCCGCCCCTACTGAGATACACGCCCACTGCTGACGCAGCCTGCCATTGCCGAGGCAACCCGCCACAACAGAGAGACTCCGCTGCAGGGCGTAGCCTGTGGTGGAGAACGCAGCAGAACAGCAAGAGCCTGCAGCAACAGGGCGAGCCTCACAACAGCAGGGTGGAGCCTCGGCAGTCAAATAGTGATTAGACTGCCTCCTAGCTGGGCAGCACACCTCAACAGACATCCAAAAACAAAGCCCCAACCCCCCAAGACAGAGCATTTGAGAAAAAAAGGGGTTTTTTAATGAGCTCTGTTGCAGCAGAATCAAACATAGCAGCCTAACAGCCCTGAATGAACAACAGAGCTCACAGCTCAGCAATTGAGCTCCTATAAAGTACAGACTGTCTCCTCAAGCCGCTCCCTGACCCCTCTATATCCAAAAGACTGACATTTGGCAGGCATCATCCTGGGACAAAGATAGCAGAAAAAGAAACTGGTAGCATCCCTCGCTGTGCCACAGCTGCTACAGGTGCACCCCAGACAAGCAGGGCCTGGAGTGGACCTCAGCAGTCGTATAGCGAAGGCGCTAGACTGGTAGAAGGAAAACCAAGTAACAGAAATACTTCATCACCAACAATCTGGGTGTCCACTAAAAGACCCAATCGAAAAGTCAGCAACTAAACAGACGACAAGTGGATAAATCCACAAAGATGGGAAGAAACCAGCGCAACAAGGAGGAAAACACCCGAAACCAGAACACCTCGCCTCCTAGAAAGGACCAAAACTCCTCACCAGCAAGGGAACAAAGCTGGACAGAGAATGACTGTGATGAAATGACGGAATTAGACTTCAGAAGATGGATAATGAGAAACTTCCATGAACTAAAAGAACATGTTCTAAATCAATGCAAAGAAACTAAGAACCTTGAAAAAAGATTTGAGGAAATGATGACAAGAATGGATAACTTAGAGAGGAATGTGAATGAACTAAAGGAGCTGAAAAACACAATACGAGAACTTCGCGAAGCATGCACAAGTTTCAATAGCCGAACTGACCAAGCAGAAGAAAGAATATCTGAAGTCGAAGACCAACTCAATGAAATAAAACGAGAAACGAAGATCAGAGAAAAAAACGCAAAAAGGAATAAACAAAGTCTCCAAGAAATGTGGGACTATGTGAAAAGACCTAACCTACGTTTGATACGTGTACCAGAAGGGGATGAAGAGAATGAATCCAAGCTGGAAAATACTCTTCAGGACATCATCCAGGAAAATTTCCCCCACCTAGCAAGACAGGTCAACACTCAAATGCAGGAAATACAGAGAACACCACAAAGATATTCCACAAGAAGAGCTACCCCAAGGCACATAATCGTCAGATTCAACAGGGTTGAAATAAAGGAGAAAATACTAAGGGCAGCCAGAAAGAAAGGTTGGGTCACCCACAAAGGGAAGCCCATCAGACTCACAGCAGATCTCTTGGCAGAAACACTACAAGCCAGAAGAGAGTGGGGGCCAATATTCAACATTCTTAAAGAAAAGAACTTTCAACCCAGAATTTCATATCCAGCCAAAGAGAGCTTCATAAGTGAAGGAAAAATAAAATCCTTTGCGAACAAGCAAGTACTCAGAGATTTTGTCACCACCAGGCCTGCTTTACAAGAGGTCCTGAAAGAGGCACTACACATAGAAAGGAACAACCAGTACCAGCCATTCCAAAATCACACTAAATGCTAAAGAGCATCAACATAATGAAGAATCTACAACAACTAATGGGCAAAACAGCCACTTAGCATCAAAATGGCAGTATCAAATTCACACATAACAATATTAACCCTAAATGTAAATGGACTAAATGCACCAATCAAAAGACACAGACTGGCAAATTGGATAAAAATCCAAAACCCATCAGTGTGCTGTATTCAGGAAACCCATTTCACATGCAAGGATACACAAAGACTCAAAATAAAGGGATGGAGGAAGATTTACCAAGCTAATGGAGAGCAAAAAAAAAGCAGGAGTTGCAATTCCCATCTCTGATAAAATAGACTTTAAAGCAACAAAGATCAAAAGAGACAAAGAAGGCCATTACATAATGCTAAAAGGATCGATACAACAAGAAGAGCTAACGATCCTAAACGTATATGGACCCAATACAGGAGCACCCAGATATATAAGGCAAGTTCTCAATGACTTACAAAGAGACTTAGACTCCCACACAATAATAGTGGGAGACTTTAACACTCCACTGTCAATATTAGACAGATCAACCAGACAGAAAATCAACAAGGATATCCAGGGCTTGAACTCAGACCTGGAGCAAGCAAACCTAATAGACATTTACAGAACTCGCCACCCCAAATCCAAAGAATATACATTCTTCTCAGCACCACATCACACCTACTCTAAAATTGACCACATAATTGGAAGTAAAGCACTGCGCAGCAAATGCAAAACAACTGAAATCATAACAAACAGCCTCTCAGACCATAGTGCAATGAAGTTAGAACTGAGAATTCAGAAACCAACCCAGAACCGCACAATTTCATGGAAACTGAACAACTGGCTCTTGAATGTTGACTGGGTAAAAAATGAAATGAAGGCAGAAATAAAGTAGTTCTTCGAAACCAATGAGAATGAAGACACAACGTGCCAGAACCTCTGGGACACATTTAAAGCAGTCTCTAGAGGAAAGTATATAGCAATAAGTGCCCATATGAGGAGAATGGAGAGATCCAAAATTGACACCCTATCGTCAAAATTGAAAGAGCTAGAGGAGCAAGATCAAAAAAACTCAAAACCCAGCAGAAGACAAGAAATAACTAAGATCAGAGCTGAACTGAAGGAGATTGAGACACGAAAAACCCTTCAAAAAATCAATAAATCCAAGAGCTGGTTTTTTGAAAAGATCAACAAAATAGACAGACCACTAGCCAGATTGATTAAAAAGAAAAGAGAGAACAACCAAATAGATGCAATAAAAAATGATAAAGGGGAAATCACCATAGACTCCACAGAAATTCAAACCATCATCAGAGAATATTACAAACAACTATATGCGCATAAACTAGTAAACCTGGAAGAAATGGACAAATTCCTGGATTCCTGTGTCCTCCCAAGCCTAAACCAGGAGGAAGCTGAAACTATGAATAGACCAATAACAAGGTCTAAAGTCGAGGCAGCAATTAAGAGCCTACCACACAAAAAAAGCCCAGGTCCAGACGGGTTCACAGCCGAATTCTACCAGACACACAAGGAGGAGCTGGCACCATTTCTTCTAAAACTATTTCAAACAATCCAAAAGAGGGAATCCTTCCCAAATCATTTTATGAGACCAACATCATCCTGATACCAAAACCCGGCAGAGACCCAACGAGAAAAGAAAACTTTAGGCCAATATCCATGATGAACATAGATGCAAAAATCTTCAATAAAATATTGGCAAGCCGATTGCAACAGCAAATCAAAAAACTTATTCATCATGATCAAGTAGGATTCATCCCGGGGATGCAAGGCTGGTTCAACATACAAGTCTATCAACGTAATTCACCACATAAACAGAACCAAAAACAAAAACCACATGATTATCTCAATTGACGCAGAGAAGGCATTTGACAAAATACAACAGCCCTTTATGCTGAAAACCCTCAATAAACTCGGTATCGATGGAACGTATCTCAAAGTAATAAAAGCTATTTATGACAAACCAACAGCTAATATCATACTGAATGGGCAAAAACTGGAAGCATTCCCTTTGAAATCCGGCACAAGGATGCCCTCTCTCACCACTCCTATTCAATATAGTACTGGAAGTTCTAGCCAGAGCAATCAGGCAAGAAAAAGAAATAAAGGGTATTCAAATAGGAAAGGTGGAAGCCAAATTGTCTCTATTTGCAGACGACATGATAGTATACCTAGAAGACCCCATCACCTCAGCCCCAAAACTCCTGAAACTGATAAGCAACTTCAGCAAAGTCTCAGGATATAAAATCAATGTGCAAAAATCACAAGCATTCGTCTACACCAATAACAGACTTAAAGAAAGCCAAATCAAGAACGAACTGCCATTCACAATTGCTACAAAAAGAATAAAATACCTTGGAATACAACTCACAAGGAACGTAAGGGACCTCTTCAAGGAGAACTACAAACCACTGCTCAACGAAATCAGAGAGGACACAAACAGAT